GCCACCAGTTGTATTGGTAGGTTTTGTGTCGTTACTGGAGGCGGACGAGTTACTTCGGCTGCTTTTGCAGCTTGGCGCAACAGCGCCGTATTCTTCCAACAACCGACAAACACTGGAATGTCCACTTTTTATTGCAACTTTCACCGGCGTCCGACCAAACTGATCAGCGTGATTTGGATTGGCTTTGAATTGTAAGAGAGTTTTGACTACGTCTTCGTGTCCTTCCTGTGCCGCAATGCAAAGCGCCGTTGCACCCTGGTTGCAAGTGTGATCCACGGTGGCACCTTTCTGCAGTAAGAGACGTACGATTTGATCGTGTCCCTGCCATGCCGCCGACTGAAGAGCAGACCGTCTGTCATTATCCACAGCATTAACCTGTGCTCCATAGTTCAGAAGATGCTGTACAACCTCGGTGTGACCTTGCCAGCTTGAGATGTGCAGCCCTGTCCTTCCTTCTAAATCGGTACATTCAGCATCGGCACCATTTTCCAGCAGAAAGAGAGCCATATCGGCCTTGTTTTCGAGACATAACAGATACAGTGTAGATCTCCCATCCAAGTCTTTGTAGTTTATATTTGCGTTGCACGACATGAGGTACTCGACAACATCCAAGTGACCGCCCAAGGCAGCCACTCGTAGCGCTGTCTTCCCGTCATGTGACTTGTGATCAACTATGGCGCCGTGCTCCACGAGACAGCGTACCACCGCTAGGTGTCCTTCCTGTGCAGCTAGAACCAAAGGATGTCGACCATCGTTGTCGCTCTCGTTGACTTTTGCACAGAACTCAAGAAGGCATTCTGCCACCTGCAAAAATTAAATTATGAGAGCCATTAAAGATTTATCCTGTCGTAGATAGAAATTTAAATCTCGCAAGACTTTTATAAACATTTATTAATACATTCAAACGAATTTACCATTATTTCGTACTGTTTATGAACATTACATAAGGTAGCGCCTAGAGGTTTTTTATAATCAAAAGTTAATCTACTTTTTAATCTTTTGACAAGGGATACAAATTTGATCAATGGTAAAGTTCTTGACATATATTTAGTACAGTAAAATCTAATAACAATTTTGACTTTAATTAATGGCATTTTAAATAAAACACAATAACCCTAGGAATTTTTTGTGCAACTGTCAAACCAAAGAAGCTTTTTTAATTAACACAGCAAATATTTACCTTTAATCAAATTTTAAAATACATTTGAAAATAGAAATGGCGTTGTTCTCTTATTATTTTACAAAAGGTACGCCATTAAACACGCTTCTAATGCACTAAGACACAATTCTTCAAAACTGTTCTCTTCCAAATGACAAAAATCAATATGTTTTAGAGCTGGGTTATAATCTAATTATTTTGGGGAATCGTTGAGTTCAGTGCTGTATACCAATTGAACAGCGAAGTATCCGAAACCAAAATGAGAACAAAACGTCACGCAATCTACTTAAACTCGTATGTGTTTCATCTAATTTAAGCACTGTATTAAAAGAAGCACTGTGGAATGATTCAATTCATTGCTTATAAAACTTTGAAATCATGAAACAAATACCCATGAGCCAGATGTAGTCCACGTAGGCCACGTTTTATTGAAATCAAACCTAAAATGCAAAATGAGCATTTTCGCTAGCCAAGGGATTCTGATATGCCACTCTCCTGATATGAAGATGCAAAAGGAGTAGCATTAAAAATATATATTTACACTGACACTGCTCTTTGATTTGGCTAAACTGCAGTATCACGTGATAGTTAGATTTACTATATACTGTCTGTGCGGTATATGATTCTGTTTACTCGAGACTATTTACCTGTACCCCAGGTTCCCGTTGTTTGTCTGTTGTCTTGACATGATAACCACCTTTGTGAATGAAAGAAAGGATAACGAGAGGTGATTTATCAAGCTTATTATCTCTCTACAAAGGATAATTGACCCGAAATGTCAAATTCAATCACAAGTCAACATACCTGTAGATATAGTATAATACGAGAGGGTTAGAGACAACATGGTGTTTCAACAGATCATGTGTACTTGTTCCACTGTAATTTTTTTTTCAAGGATGCATCATACATCGGTTCATATGTAAAATCATAAGTATTAAGCTCTCCATATCAAACAGTAACTATAGGTGAACAATGGTGAATAGTACAGAGAGCCAAGGTACTCTCTCAATAAATGACATAGCAACTGAATGTCATAATAACTTAATCTGTAGCTGTCAAATTCTGAGAATAGAACAGACAGTGGGGTGGGGGTACATAGCATATATCAAGGAGATTGGCGAAACAAACATAAAAAGACTAGAAATATGTGCACCTGTATACCAGATTCTTGGTATACTGCACTTTCCAGTAGCAGGCGCGTAGCTGCCTATACGCAAGTACGCAAGTGCGTACACATCATTTTCCAAAAAAAAAGAAAGAAAGAAAGAAAGAGGGATAAAAGAAAAGAAGGAAAAAAGAAAGAGAGATTTTTACGGGAAAATAGAGGCACTACCCATGTTTCAAATTATTTTGCGTCTTATTGTTTGGATTCAATTTTTTTCAGCATGTCTGCACATTCAAATTTAGTCCTTTATAAAATCAATTCCAAAAACATCTTTCAACATTCTTGAGGAAAAGAATTGTTAAACCAAAATGTTAATCCGCGTAATCACAATTATCCGGACAAATATTTGATAAGGAAACTCGAAAGAAAAAGTTATAAAGGTTTTGGACGACTATCCAAGATTTTTAATTTCCGTAGAGGTAATGAATAAATGTCGTTAAACAACTTAAATTATGGTGAACAAAATAAATAATAATATAGCTTCTTTTAGATGTTATATACCAATTTAAAGAATTATATTATAATGAAGCATTCTGCATCGTTTCAGCTATCAACACATGAAGGTAATCAAAAGACAACACACCCCCCGTTTATATTTTGAAATATTTAAACTCCAATGATAACGATATTGAAATTGCTACTCTGTTTTATCTTGATACACTTGGAAACTTTTTTCCAATACCACAATATGCGTAAATTAATTTGATAAAGCGAAGTATCAATGGAAGCAGTATATCTTATACTCGAGAAAAGTGATATTATTGTGATTTCTTTTGCGAGAAAATGGGGCGGCCCCCAGACCCCCGACCGTTTTCTGCGTACACTTCGTTTTGCTGGCTACGCGCCTGAGTAGGTCAAGGAAAACTGAAACTTTCATGACAAACTGCATTTACTGATATAGGATATCCTTCAAGATGAACAGCGTGCATTTTCAGTTAACACACTGACCTAGATCAACGGCAGGGGACAGACTTTAATGTTAATTTAGCATTATCCACAGGAAGTCGAGGGGAAACTGTTTTCCGGGTGTCGTAATCGTGTGTTTACTTTGGCCGCCAGGTAAACTGTCATTTACTTCAAACTAATGAGAAAACGATTGAAAGGCTATAAGGAAATTTCTTCTTATTGGGGATCTCTTATTTTTAGCATTTAAAATCATTTTAAAAAGAATGCACCGATTTACACGTCTTTTTCACACAATACTGCAAAAGAGCTGATAAATTTTATTAAAAGAGTCGGTGCTGGCAAATCAAAAAGATTTTTGTTAAAAATGCAAATCAGGCTTAATCTCCTTAATCTGATAAAGCTATAATTCCTGTAAGTGTGCAGTAAGTCTTTTCAAGTGTGAAGTATGGCTGATCAATTCTATCGGATTAAATATATGCAGCAAGCAAAATGTGCCAACAAAAGACAAAAATGGACTTATTGTAAGGGGTCTATTTAAGACCGTATAGAAATTTTGATATCATGATTAAAATCTAGATTCCATGGTAATTCTCCATTTTCTGTTTATAACCTTCTCAAATTGCTATACGTATATCAAGCCATTCTTCTGACCAAATATAAAACCTTGATATATCAGATGAAGAGGTTTGAACATGCTCAAGGCGAATCCAATAACAGCCATCCATCGAACAATTCGTAAGAGTTTGTTGGAAGCTGTATTCTTAATGAAAGCATTAATTATTGTAACGTGCCAAAATAAAAGAAAAATGTTAGCCGAATCTGACAGGGATGTAACCATGTTGATCAACAGACAGAAGAACCTGCCAGAACTGATCCGTCTTCCCTTGTCAGTGTCTATTATCAAAGAACCACAAAGAGAAACACTAATTTACAGACTAATTCAGGAGGCAACACAACTAAACATTTTTGTAACATAAAGCATACACAAGTCATTTACTTTTCATAAGGATATGGAAGATTTAACTAAGTCTTGTTTTTGTGCGTCAAAGTTAATATAAAAAGTTCTACGATGTTAAGGTCAGACAACACGCTCCCCAATAATATATTGTTCTGTAAGCCCCCGTAATCTAGAACCGGGTAAATTAGAGTTTTTGCTCTGTTCGTCCGTCTGTCTGTTTCTCTGCAAAAAAACTTGCCCATAACTTTTGATAGGTCGGGGCTATGGATTTCTTATTTTACATGTGTATTTCTTGTCACGATACCAATTCTTGGCACCAATATATTTTATGTCTTGACCTTGACCTTGTTGTCTGACCCACTTTTGCAAGAATTCACCAAACTTTAACACTGGCCAAAACTTTCGAACAGTTGTTGCTACAGCTTTCATTTTTATTGTTACAAGGCCTTTCCTTGGGAACAAATAGTTAGAACTGACATTGACCATAGATTTTGACCCATTTAAAAAAAAAAATTGGATAGTTTGTCCTAGGGACTGTCTGTCCGTCTCTCTGTCTGTTTGTCCGAAAAAAAAAATTGACTTTGCCTGTAACTGTTGATAGGTTAGAGCTATAGCTTTCATATTTCTCCATGTGTAGTCAGACTTTAAATTTCAAATGTATACCTGTTTATCAATTTGTGCGTAGAATGGGTCATCGCTTTTCATTGAAAACTCACAAATGTGTCACGGCAGCGTTTACACTGCTAATGAGACTAATGCTTAGTGTGACCCGGCAGACGACAATGTGTGACCCCCTCCTCACCTGAGAGGGATCAATCAATCACCAGAACTGACTCATCGCCAACCCCAATCTGCCTAAAACCTCTGCTGCTGCTTAGCGCCACATTTCTCTTTTCACTGGTGATTACTTTATCAATTTGAATTTCATTGTCAGCACAGACAATAAACTGAGATCTGACAGGTGAATGTTGAGATAGATAAGTCTAACAGGTGTGAGAAGGGTTAAACTGTACACAGTGTGAGGGCTACAGAAGCTCAGATACCTAAATCAGTAAATCACACCACGTAAGTAACTGGGTGAAATAAGACCATCATGTGTCGGAACAATAAGTAAAGAGATCCCAGTAATCTACGCCGGGCATCCTCAACACTGATACTGTAAACGTTAGACAGAAAAATCCTGCTGTCCAAGCGATTTAGTGTATCACTGCTAACTGCTGTATACAAAGAGTGGTGAAACATGCAAACACTTGTAAACATAGTGCTGCACGTTCGTTAAGATCAAAGTCAGCGGATTTTTTACTTGACATGTTATTAACAATCCCAGCTGCCCAATCAAGTCAGGGAAAATTAAAACAGGACAAAATTTTCCTCCTCCGGCCTAGACCACAGCTGAAGTTAATCAACCGAGATATAAACTTCTATAACATCCAGGCAGCATTTGAATAAAGGAGTTGTATTTTTTCCGTTTAATTCTGGGAAAAAACTCGAACTAGTTGGCTGGTTCATATGGATTTTTCCATCGTTATACCTGGCTTCAGGTGTACACAGAGATAATTAATTTACCTCCAGGAAGATTGATTGCTACATCATACCTAATGTCGACCTCATAAGCTCACGTTTGAGGCCAGTATCGTTTGATGATATCAACAATACCAAAATTAAGGTCAGCGACATGGAGATTGGAATAGAGAACTAGAAACAAAGAACATGTCTAACATCTGCTGATGGCCTGCTGTCCCTCATCAAGATAGGTTTTGAAATTGTTTACATGCCCAATAAAAACAACTCGACTGACTTCAAGTTAACGTCCATAAATGTCGCTCCTGTCAGAGTTTTATTTTCCATTTTTTAGCGTTCCCCGTAGTTACAAACATTAATAACATTTAGCAAATGAGACCTTAACTTGTGTAAATATAGAGAGTTTAACTAAACAGGGAAATCGATGTGAAGCTCATCAATAAATGAGATGTCCGGCGAGGGCTCCACTCATCCACGGCTCTGTGTACTCTCCGTCCATTACCGACGTAAGACAAGTATACTCATCAGGACGAGATACCGCCAAATGAAGCTGATTAAAGAAATATCCAGAATTGAGAGCAAATAATGGTATTGTTCGAGTTGTCTGTACATAACAGTCGTACTAAACTAGCCCCATCCGTGCCTGTCGCTCAAAATCCCTCACTCTTTTTCCTCTTTTATTTGCATTCCAATTTCCTAAATATTTTTCTCATAAAAATTCTCACCAGTAGTTGGTCGGACAAAATATAATGGCTATTTAAGTTAGGCTTTATATTCTTAATAAACCATGTGCTGGGATAATTAAAGCCACTCGATCGTGCAACAGCAAAGATTACGTAACTTTCATTTGAGTCACAAATTCTACAACCAGAGGCAATTTTGTGCTACTTTTTTTCAGAGTCTATACACCTGCTTTTCCCATTCTGATTCGCCTGTGTTTCAGATCATTAATACTTTATATAAATTCAGTTCTATTTCTTTAATTCCCATCTCTAATTACAGATTTAAAAAATCGTTATTAAGCAATTAAACATTTTTTGTTAATATAAGAAAATGAAGGAAACCGTCCTAACTAGACCTATCAGACAGGGTTTGTTTAACGAACTGAGATGGATACGTCAGATTTAACAACAGGGGTAGAAATCAGCTGTGAGTTGTCAGTTTCTAAAAGATCTAACAGAAATTAATCAATTTCCCGATATAAACCCTGCATGCATGTAGGCCTGTAAAAATACACAAAAACACCAAAACTGTGTCTTAAACAGATCGGAATCTTTAAAATGAAAGTTAGTTTGTTATAACAATTTGGCAGCTCTTTATCTCTTCTTTCTTGTACATTCGTTAACTTTATTCATAAGCACAATACCCATCCTCCGATGTATAGTTTCCATGCCCTGGAATGCGAACTCTGAATTCTGACTAAATTTTTCAAAAGCATGTTGGTCCTTTATTTAAACACAATTGTTTTCATATCTGAGACATGTCTAATTAAAATATCTGCCTGATTAACCTTTGGCCCTGTAAATTCCAGTTTGTCAGTTTTGGTATGTGATCACCTTGTTCGGCCCCTATAGGGTCAAGAACAAGGAATTTTACACGGTGCTTATCGGGGGCTTTTTGCAACCATTGCACATACCTTCAAGATCAAAGTCACATGTGCATGTCGAGTTAAAACCACTTACAATGAGCATTCTACTTAACAGGACTGACATTATTCGTTTTAACACCGATAGCAGGTCAGCATTTATTAAAGGACTCCTAAATTTGTTTTAAACATTTAGTGGAAAAGGTCTCCACTTCAGATGTTTTAACAACAGTCAACCCGAACAATAATATTTATTTTAGAATTCTGGATATTACATAATCGTTTGTTCTCCATTCAAAGTTAAAATCTGATTATTTCTTTCCTAAATGGAGATGAATTCTACAGCATTATAAATACCGATATTATCGTTCATTAACAATTTAAAACTCGGTTATATAATTCAATACCATAAAACTGGGTAGAACTGTTCATTCAATAAATGTCAGAATTTTTACAAAGATAAAACTTAAGTTAATTTTCAAGGTTATGTAAAAAGTGGCCTAAATTGTCCCACGCTGGACCAATCAGAGACAGTTCTTTTAATAATGTCCCTAAAACTGACTTTTTTTCTGGAAAACCATCCCATTTTTCAAAACAAAAGATTCTACCTAAGATCTAAAATTAAACATTTCATTTATTATGCAATCATTGCGCATCAAAAAATAACCTGTTGAATGTAAACAGAGGTCAGTATGCGGTTTCCGTAAGTCAGACAGGAGTGAATCTTGCTTAAATAAAACACCTAGGTGTATAAAAACCGCAGACGACGAGAAAAAAAGAGTGAATGAAATAAAAAGCAATCCTAAGTTTGTTTTACATTTGACAAAAACACTTAGGCGGTAACGAGTATCCAATAACCGTGATGAAATCGATCTCTTCTCAAAAGAATTTAAACATAGGAATGTTGAAATGGACACTTGGCAAGGATAGATAGGTAGATCCAGCAAAGATCTACTAGGAATACTAAATCATAGATCACTTAAATGACGTATTACGAGGTCTTACTTTACATCGTGTAAGGATAGGTGTTTAATAATGATTGTCATTCATAAATGTCAATTCATATACATTTTTTTCATTTCAATTTTCATAAAAATGCGGATCAAGTTTAATTTTCACAAAATCATTAAAACACTCTACACCATTACTATGTTTCCAGGACGATTTACCTAGTTTATAATATATATGCAGGTTTTCATACTTAGGCATGGAGTAAATAAGAACAAAATTGTACATTTACCTTTTGATGTCCCTCATACGCCGCCATATGAAGGGGAGACCACCCTGCATTGTCCTTATGCATTTCATCTAAACCTCGTTCAAGCAGCTGACGCACAGTATCTTCGTTCCCCTGGGCAGCAGCTATGCTGAGGACATTTCTTCCTTCGGAGTCTATCGTGTCCACAGCGCAACCCCAAAATAACAGTTGATATACAATTTTTGCGTGGCCCATTGATGCTGAGGCCAGTAAGGCCGTTCGACCACTCTTATCTGCGTGATCAATGTCCGCATCCCATTCCAACAACAGTTCACATACGTCACGGTGACCCTCGCACGCGGCGACCAGCAATGGCGTCATGCCGTCCTTATCCTGGTGGTCTACCTCGGCGCCCTGCTCCAGAAGGATGCCCACGACGCTCTCGTGTCCTTCACTGGCGGGAATACACAAAGCGGCGACTGATAACGCCGTCCGTCCGTCACAATCTTCATGATTTATATCCGCTTTATACTCCAGTAAATGCTGAACAATTTCAGAATGACCCATGTAGGCTGCCGCAATGAGCGCGGTGCGACCTTCGATGTCCGCTTTGTTGACGTCTGCTCCATGTTCTAACAGACGAAGCACAATGTCCTCGTGTCCACCCCACGCTGCAGCCCGCAGAGCCGTTCGCTGATCTTTATCAGCATAGTTTACATCCGCACCCGAGTCCAACAATAAACACACGACGGCCGTGTGTCCACCCCACGCCGCTGACCGCAACGCAGTCCATCCTTCACAGTCCGTAGAATCAACAGACGCGGAAGCACTGAGGAGAGTAGCCACTACTGTCCCGTGACCTTGACGCGAAGCTAAATTTAATGGCGTCTGTCCACTACGATCAACAATTTCTACATTTGCACCTTTTGTCAATAGAAGATTAACTAAGTCTAAATTCCCCTCGTACGCAGCGGTATGTAAGAGTGTCCGTCCGTTTCCGTCCACCTCGTTGATTTGGACGTCCACATCCTCTAAAGCCTGGTCACAGGATTCTGACTCCTCAATCATGCTGGCCTGAAGACTGGCACACTCTGCCTCTTCGGCATCCACCGGCATTTTAGCCCCAGCTTCCAGTAAAATTTTGACTACTTTTTGTTCCTTCGGAACACCGGCAGATAAACTGTTCTCTACATCTGCGCCACTGACTAATAACCACTGAGTTAGATGGTATGTTTGAATCGGTTCCTCAAAGTTGGTTCTCACCAGATGCCAAGTGAAATCCTGTACCTCTGCGGTGGAGAGATTTGCTGCGTTTACAGTATAATGCATCGCTAACATGCCGTGACCTTCCGCGGCAGAACACAGGTACTTTTGGGTACAATGTTTTACGTCCAGAAGCCACTCAGCAAAGCTGTGATGAAATAAAATTTTAGTACCCCCGTTTCCCTCAATTAATAATTTTGAAAGCAGTTTTATTCGCTTGTCAAAATCTTCCTTTGTTAGCGTGAGATTTGAAGTTCGCACACAGGAAAATAACTGTTCCTCGGTTAAAGGCTTCCTGGAGGCGAGAATCACATTCAAAATTGGTTGAATTTTAGAAAATTGTTTCCGCACAAATAACCGCTGACAGAGCCAGAGATAGAGCCCATTAAGCGTCCCCGGGATTTCGCGGATCTCCCGTAACATAATGAATTTTTCTGAAACCCCGTCCAAAACTTTCTCCAAGTATAGAAAACAACCGTTACTTTTGATGTGAAGTTGATTGAGCATTTCCGCCGTGTCACGACTTAGGTGTTGGCGGAGGTCCTCTTCAAGGTCCAGTCTACACAGAATATATTGCTGGACATCTCGCACCACGTGCGACTTCCGGAGATCATCCAGACTTATCTTCCGGAAACCTGTGAACATCCGGGTTACAGATTTGCTCTGCTTCCGTGAAGAGCACACTAAGAGAAGCCAATTTGGAAAACTAGTGTGATTGTTGGCCAGAAGTTCGGCTATCGTTTTACTTCCGGTCGTACGATCGTTCAGTGACTGAAGATACGACTCGTCAACTGAGTCCACTAAAACAAATAATGTTTGATTCGGAGGCTGGATGGAAGACAACGGTTTCAGCACAAGTTCCTGAAAAGCCTCATCAGGGTTGCGTTCGATTTCATAGGGGCGGCGTAATCGCTTGGCTTCAGAAGTTTCTAGCTTTTCACAATATCCGACTATCTGGTCAGAATTACACAATTGTTCGACTAGTCCACTGACGAAGTTTGAGAGTGATAAACTGTCGATGTCATGCGCCTGACAGAAGTGGTAGCCCAACAACCGTTTGTTCAGTAGCGTCTGCTTACCCTGGGGGACGGTGGGCCACACCAGCTCGCAGCCGATAGCAGTCTTTCCACACCCCGGGCCCCCCATAATGAGGGCTCCACATGTCTTGGACGAGGGTCGGCTCTCCAGACAGTGGTTTATTTTGCTGAAGGCCCATTCCCGACAAAAGAACCGCTTTTGTTTCAGTAGACACTGTGTCATCGTGGCGTTTGGCTCATTCCTCTGTTTCCTGGAGTGTATTCCTCCCTCACACTGTGAAAGAAAAAAATCATTAAGTGCAATAATTGCGTGATCCTAGCATAATTACACGTAATGTATGTTTTTAAAAGTGTAGGCTACGTCAGGGTTTGACATAATTACATTCAGTGACAAATACGAGCTATTATAGGAAGTGGTAGTATAATGCACTCTGACGGTTAGCCCGCTCTGGCTCTGATCAATGCCTGGTTGCAGCAGATTGCAGAGACGGACAAAAAATCTCCCAAACAATGCGGCGAATTAAGCCAATAGATGACATACATTTATCACACTATCTTCTCTACCAATCATGGGCAGATTAGCATTAATCGTTAACGGCCTATTAGGATAACACTTCGAGATAAGGGACTAGATATAATAACAGGGTAAACGGAAGCCTCTACAGACGGGGTGGGGGGCTCGGGGGCTGTCAGAATTAACATTCCCCTCCCGTGACAAAATATATGTCATTAGTTCACGGACGACAGTTAGCAGTTATCTGCTGAGTTCAATAATCGACCCTTTCTGTCTTTGTCAGTTTGGCTACGAGTTGGATATCAGCCCTGGGAAAGCAATGGGATAACAGTGTTGATAGAGCGATAACGAATATCTTCAGCAGCAGTGAGCGATCTACTGTTTAGTCTGCAGCTATTTTCTCACAGACTTCTGTTTTTTGAAAATTCATGACGTCGACTTGTAGTTTTGATAATTCGTTTTATAAAATGATTGCAGACAATTTCCGGATAACATTATTATTATAATGACGGGGGTATGATGAGAAGGGCATCAAACAAAATTTTACATAATTGAAATGATTGTACATGATATAGGAAATATGTGGATTGTCGAACGTTTGAGGTATAACAAAGATAAGTATGACAGAATGCCGATATCTTAAGACCAAATATTGATCGCGATCAGAGCGAACACGTGCATTACACATTAGAAATCAGTCACACACATTCAGATTCAATCTTCTGAGAAAAAATCAATACAAACTCAGCAAGGCTTTTTGTCGCATTGCTGAAATACAAAAATACTATAATAATGGCTAATACACCAACTACGAGAGTCATTCATCATAATCTTTATTGGTTTCTTCCTGAAATCACCACTTCGCAAAATATATTCAAGAAATACTTACACTGTCAAAACGTTTAAAATTTATCCTCACTTATTGCAATAATTTATAAATTTATTTGATGCAAATCCATTGTCTAAATGCCATAAAACTTTAAAATTCCGTTGCAGACTAATTTAACACAGAGCTCAATTTCCTTCACGTCCAGTGCCTGGTCAAACTCAATACACACTGTTTCATTCAGTAAGATATTTACCATGCTCTCGTACACTATTTTTATCGCAGGCCTACACAAAGAATGTTGATCAGACGTTGTGGGCGGAGTTACGTTTTAAATCCAGTAGCCCGGTTGGTCCTAATCACCCTACTTTGTATGACAGACACCTGAAAACGCTATCGACTTTTTTTAAAATCCCGTACCTGTAGACCGTAAACTTTCGGTAATAGATGTAATTATTGTCATCATGTAACATTTGTTTTTCTCACTTCCCTTCCACCCTCGGGATAAAAATTCCACTGCCATCGAGCTTGATCAGTTAATTGACACATTTCACGTCGCACCTTGACTAAGGATTCTGCTGATAAGGAACGTTGACAATGTTTTACTGGTATTAGTCGTACCCACGAGCCAAATGGACATCTTGATGTCGTGAATGATGAACTACCTAGGTGTTCTAAAAGCATGTTAATGTGTTCTTTTATAACTTGGATAAAAGTTTTATACAACTTTTATCTTTCCTAGATAGACAAACATTTCTATTACAGAAGAGTTTTATGATGAAAAATTAATTTTGTTTTTTACGATTCCAACATACCATGTTACATCATACTCAGTTAATTAAAGTCCAAACAGCGAAATTAAATTGAAATAATTTTCATTCCACTTTTCAATTGGTCTAGAGGTTTGGATGCGTATATAGTTTTAGTGCAAAATTGAAGAGTTCAGGGAGAGGGGCTCAACAAACGAACATAAACTTAATTATATAAAATAAAATTAAACATATTTTAATAATTTAATCAAGAAAACTTAAATGTTATTTTGCTGAAGAAAAGAACCGTTAGAACCAGTACCAAACAACTCAAATTATAATCAATTTCGGGGGTGGGGGAGTATATATTCCGAAAGTATTGCCCATTTTAGGAGAGGGAGCCCGGCCCACAGGCATTTGTTTCGTATGCAGGGCACCCCCTAAATGGTAAAAATAAGTAGGGGGTACCCTGTATACGAAACAAGTGCCTGTGGACCGGCCACACCTTCCCGACTCCTGACCTTGTGACAAAATCAATCAATAAAAGGATAATGACCGAATATCGAACACCAATACCAAAATTATAGTTATTTGTTGTAATACAAAATTAACCTCATCACTGATACACGTTTTTCTTTTTTCTTTTTCTTTTACGCTCGCGTTTTGCTACACGTATTCTCTTCCCCTACTTCAATAATTTTTTTTACAATACTCTTTTGTCTTTTCCTGTAAAATAAATTGACTATCGTTCGCCCTAATACACAGTAATTGCTTCAATAAATTGATTTTTTTCAGTCTATCAAATATAACTATATTTCTGGAATAAAAGAGATGTATCAAATCATAATTTCTGGCAGGATGTCAGAATTAGAAATGGCCGGTGAGACTGGTTACCCAGCAGAACCCCGGAGAACCGGACCGAGATGGATTCTTCCGGGAGACCTTCGGAACAATTGGCTCTAAAAGCCACGAGGCATCGATCGAGTGGCAGATAGAAAATGTATAATATGTATAAATATACAAATATTGTTCCTTCACATTGAAGTGTGTTCTAAGCAAAATCGATTTGCGAATATACCGGAGTTAATTACATTTAAACACAAACCCAATAAAAAAAATGTGATATTATTTCCTTAATTGATTGATTATTGAATTTTAATCCTTGTCCTTACAAATCACCATTTATTTGACGTAACAGTTACTTCAATGATGTAATTAGTAGGATGACCATAAGTTATGATCTACAGGCCCGTGGACGGCGGTCCTGAGGTAGCGAGACACGTGAGTGGTAACCGCAGGTTGACACTATAAATTTGTCAATGTACAGGTATAAGTATGTAAAGTATGTATAAATATGACCTAGACACTCCCGTGTTAACCCAATACACGGCTCAACAAGAAAAAAAAATCGTACAGTACGACTTAATATGCAGCTATTAAGGGTGCATTGTTTGTACATATGCCAACTGACGAAGGAAAAATGCGACCATTCCTCAATAGCTGTCAGGGCTTATAGTATTAGAGTTTAATTGGATTGCCCTAGTGCAGTCTTTATTTGTTAAGAAATTAAGAGTATTTTCTCAAGTGTACAACACACCCCGTTGCTGAAGATGAATTATTGAGGTCAAATAAGGCCCTTTACATTGATTTTCGTGGACTCCATGGGAGCAACTCAAGGCCTGTTGTCAGGAAGGAAGGAAATCCGATTTCTATTGAAATGTGCATTATAGTGGTTGCATGTTTATATTGAGGGGTTTGCTCAAATTCTGCATTAACTTATCACAGGTAAAATAAATAAACCCAAGACAAACGTTTACCCACGTAACACTTTATAATATCTGCCTAGTGGGCCCTGTTTTCTTTGCATATTTTGAGGACCTTTATTGAGATAATTTCCATTGTGCTTAAATACCCTCAATGACAACAAAATCTGCTTTGTTCAATTAAAAAAAATCTCATCTCCCATCATTCTGTCTGTAAAAACAAGTCCTTCACCGAATTCTATGCGAAACAAGGACAGAAAAAAATAATATACATGTAGAAAACAGATAAAGACATAATTTCCGGTTTCTAGCTGGCATCTGAGTTTCGGTTAGTTGCTCGCAGATATATGCAGGCCTTGGACTTCGAGTTTTTCCAATGGTCTCTAAGTTTTGTTTTTTGCTGGTCTCATAGTTCCGGTTTTTCGTTGGCCTTTTGAGTTCTGTTTTTTTACTGGCTTTTGAAATCCAGTTTCTCTCTGGCCTCTAAGTTCCTGTTGGTGATTTACCGTTTCTTGCATGCCTGAGTTCCGGTTTCTAACTGGCTTTGAGTTCCTTTTTTACTGGGCTCTGAATTCCGATTTCTGATTCCCAGGTTCTCCCTAGCCTATGAGCTCTGATTTCTTGTTGGTCTTTGAGTTCCGGTTTCTTGTTTGTCTCTCAAATGTAGTCCCGATTTCTCGCTGGCCTATGGATTCTGATTTCTTGTTGGTCTGAGTTCCTGTTTCTCTTTTGTTTCTCATATATAGTCCAGATTTCTCGCTGACCTATGGATTCTGATTTCTTGTTGGTCTTTGAGTTCCGGTTTCTCGTTTGTCTCTCACATGTAGTCCCGATTTCTCGCTGACCTATGGGTTCTGATTTCTCGCTGACCTATGAGTTCTGATTTCTCGCTGGCCTCTTAGTTCCTCTTACGCCTGGGCTCCGGATTATTGCTCCTTCTTTAATACGGTTTCTCTTTGACCAATCATTTCCTATCTAAGTAGTTTTTACATGTATATATCGTTCAATTTCCTCCGTTGGTATTCATCTAAAATATGGTTTTCTACTTTTAAAAAAGGATTAATTTTTGATCAATTTGTATTTGTTTTCAAGGTTAGGAGAGGCCCCCGAATTCATACCGGCAAAGAAATGTCATATTTACATGTGTACATAACTATACTGAACTTAACAAATCTTCATCCATAAAATCAAATCCTCATGAATCCATAAAGATTTCTAAAACTATGAAAATTTGGCCCAATGAAAATAAGTGACTTTTTAAAGTGTTGATCATACTGGTCAGTGAAAAAGGCAGCATTTGTCTTACTTAAGGCTTGACCAGACTATATACTGGATAACAATCGTCTATCTTACGAAGGTTACCTTTTAGAGAGAAAACTAATCATAACACAACATGTAATTCTGCCACTCTTATATGTAGAACAGTCGTAAAACACATTCATTTAAAAGCTGGAAAAAAAAAACTTTTTTCAAGAACTAGCCATTGTGCTATTAAAGAATGAGTGCAGATAGCCATACAAGAGCATCCGTAATTTGTACACTTGTGGGCCGACAATGAAGACCAAAGGAAACATGGAGAGAAACTGCCTAGAAGAAAATGAAATAATTTGGATTCAGAACACGGAGCAAAGAGACCTTGGCAGCTTGTACCAGATCAGATCAAAGAG